GCTGTTCCAACTAAGCAAAAAATGATGTGTTCAACCCAAGCAAAAGAATGTTAATGTGCATTTGATCAGATGTAACTGAAGTACAGGGTTATGAGATACATTATGTGAATGCAATGTCTGGAATATCTGTGCTGTGGTGCATTATGGGAGGTGGGAGAAACCAAGTGCAGAGGATGAAGGGGATTGTTTGTTATTTTAAAATTTGAATGCCTTACCAATGATGGAATTTGTATACATGACTGATAAATAATTTGTTGATTATAGTTATATAGTTTAGTTTTTGATTAATTTAATTTCTGTTAGCTTGCGTGACTGTCAATGGTTTTGCCCATCACTATAAATGCCCCCTAGCTATGGGCCAGATGTGTCAGTATGAGATGGCAGTTGTGGTGTAAGGATGCTGAAAGAGATTGCCATGCTTGAAAGTATACCTGCTTTAATCATTGAAAGGTAAGATCTTTTCTTCCACATTCATTTGTTATGTGATTATATACCTTGTGTATTTTTTATTTTTTTTCAAATAAATGAGAACCTATATCCAGTAATAAATGTTATGAGCCAGTCAGGAGTTGTTTTTTGGTTTGTTAACAGTCCTGTAGAAAGTGGACGAAAGCATGTGAAGCTGATTGAATGTGACCGCTGAACTGCATCAAGAGAAATGCCATCAGGTGAGAAGCTTAGCCTATGTCTTATTTGCCTTTTTTCTTCATGCATGTTTTTTTTCCTCTTCATCTGTGGTATATTCACTTAAGTGTTTTTTTTTTTCATTTTTTTTTTTTGGTTAAGAATTTCCTCTGCTTCCTGAACTTGGTGTTTGTTTTATGTACAGACAAATAGTGACTTTAAGGAATAATTTTAGAAGAGATATGACTGTGGCAAACATTTCTTTATTGTAATGTGGGCTGTGACCACAACGAGTGGTAAGACTTTTAAAGCTCAAATGCAGAGCTTAATGCTTGACTGTGTATGAACGTCTTGGGTTTCACATAATCTGCTCTGGTTTTTGCTCTTTCAGATCCTACACTTTCCTGGGCATTGTATAAGAAACGGTTTACGTCACGGTGGCATTTGGTGAGGTTAAACATTTCGGCATTTGTGATTAGTAGATCTGAATTTCTGAGGAACCATGCACCAAAAGGTGAAATTGTTTTGTAGCGTGTAGGCAGTTCTAAATTGATTGTTGCTGTTAACTTGTTCAAGTGTCTTGCTGTTATTACAATTTTGTGGCTTATACCTGTTGTACATCAATGGCCGTTTGGGTTCACATGTCTTATGGTGCCATGGGCAGGTTAAGTATCATGCCATGACTTCCTAATCATGCCAAAATGCGTTTCTTGATGCGGTCAACTCTTTTGACTTGGTGGCAGTTGGCAAGTTCTATGCAATTTAACCACCTACTGAGATGATATTGTAAGTATTGGTCGCTTCTCCATTAAAATTTTCCTTCTTGACTATATCGGTCCCTGCACCAACAGGTCAACTAATGCAACACCCTCCAGCCTCTTGCTCTCAAATGGTATGCTTGAGTCTTGGACCAAGGTAAAGTCTCTTGTCAACCAGTCTTGCTTTGGAAGAAGTGTTTTCTTTCTGAAGATCGCCTTGAACCTGTTTAAGTTCTTCAATGAGGGTGAATGTTGTTCTTGCCATGTGACTTCAATACATCCCTGTTTACCAAATGCAGAAGTATAACGGCACCCATAGACCAATTGTACAGCTGCTGGTTGGCTGTTAACGCTGACTTCACCTTTCCACTCAAAGTGTCACATTTGTTTTTGACAGACATAGAGATGAGACAACTCCCTCTGTGCTCTGGCAGACTTCCACACTCCTCAACCACCTGAATTACCTTAAGCGCAGCCATTGTGGACCATGAGTATGTGTGCTACAAATGCAGGCATGTGAGATGATGGGAAGATCTTGAATTTCAGTTATTGTACGGGCAAACATCAGCTGTTCAATTTGTTCTTGTTGCTATTTTCCTAAGGTTTTTCTGTGCGTGTCTTTGGCTGTAACTTCAAAAATACAACAACTGAGATCAGCATGCTGCTGTCCTGTCTTGACAGCCCATTGACGACTTGAGTCCCTTTCCCTGGGTAAGTCTCTTTTCACAACTCCAAGTCCTCCTAGTCTTGTTCGACCTCAGATGGTTCCGTACTGGTTCATTTCCAAAACCGCAAGCTCCGATATCTGATAGATGGGGTACCCCAAACCTAGTGATGAGGCTACTTGTTTTTTTTTTTACACTTGGATTTAATGCTCATTTACCTGTATTTCCCTATATACTTGTATTTATGACTGTCAGGCAAATGGATCTCGTTCATTCTATGGCAGTCCATAGGTGATGGATGAAAGTGACATGTAAAACCATAAACTTGAGGTGTAGCAGTTTACTTTTCATTTGTCAAGGTTACAACAAAATTCATACTTAAGAACTATTCACGCTTTTCCAAGCTTTAAATTAAATTGTTTTTTTTAAAGGAACCATCAAAAGACTGTCTAATACCAAACCCCTTCAAAAATATTACTTATTAAAAATGTTACTTGCGTGTGCATATTACGTATGAAATTGACTGAAATGGAAAGCGTTATAATTATTCAATATACAAACATCACGCTCAATATTCAGAAATAGGTTAGGGATTAAAAGATCCAAAAATAGAAACAGAGTCCGATTTCGGTTGTGCACTGTCCTTCAATTCCTTC